CCTGCGCCCGCGTCCGCGGCCGAGTCGACACTACCTCGGCGGGCGCGGCCGCGCCGGCGCCCTCCCCCGCCCGCTCCGCCGCCGCGCGCCTCGCGGCGCCGGCGCCGAGCCCGAGCAGCCGTCGGAAGTTTGCCTCCGTCGCCGCCATTGTGCCCATCCATGTGTGCACGTGCCGCCACACGGGGATCAGAAACGCGTTGTTTGCGGCCAGGGCAAACACGCTGTACTCAGGAAAGTCAGTTGCCATCCAAGTGCCGCCGACCAGGGTGCCTGCCAACGGCCCGAGCGGCGCCAGGGCACGCAAAGAGGAGTATTCAGGGTTCCGCACAACCGCAGTTGGATGAGCGGCGGTGGCTGGGTGCGTGGGAAGGGGCACGGTCTAGAGGAGGGCTGCGCTGGGCTGCTGCAGTGACGGCCTATGCAAAGGCGATTACAAGATGCGAGCTGGCCGCAAGCAGCCCCTTGCCATGGCAACCCCAGCGCAGCCCAGCTCAGCCCCGCGCACGCTGGGCGCGGCGCACGGGCGAAAGCGCACGGCCTGCGAGCTGGCGAGTGCGGCAGGGTCGAGCTCCCTCCCGGCTCACCTAGCGGGAACGCGCCGTGCGGGAATTGCGCAATGATGTAATCCTTGTAGGCGTCGAGGGGCTCGTCGAACACAAAGCTGAACCGGAAGTAGCGCCGCCACGCCAGGAACACATAAGCATCCAGCACGCGCCGCACCATCACCGGCCCCAGCGGCAGCAGGTACGTTGCCAGCACCAGCGCCGCGGCGCCGCGCGCCCACGCGCTCCAGACCGCGGCGAGGGCGATGAGGCCGATTATGTAAGGCACCGCGAGGTACACCCCCAGGGTGGCCCCCGCGAAGATCCTCGTGAACAGGGTGGGGCGGTAGCCGGGGTACATGCCATCGGAGTAGCAGACGCCGCGGCAGGCGCGCGTGTACTGGCTCGGGTGCTCGTAGGCCGCGGGCGCGGGGCGAGGCTCGGGCAGCAGCTGCCGCGCGGCTTCCCGCAGCAAGGAGGAGAGGGTCCATCCGCGGCGTGAAGCGGGGGCCGCGGCGCCGCCTTTGGGGCGGCGGATCTGAATTTCGGCCGACACAGCCATTGCCGGCGCAGCTGCGGGCGGTCCCTGGTGATGGCGGTGATGGTGGTGGTGCTGCTGCTCTTCCTAACGTGGCAGCTGACGCTGCTTCTACTGCTACCGCGGCTCCTGCTGCTGCTCCCGCTGCTGTCGCTGCCGCTCCTGCTGCTGCTGCTGCTGCCGCTCCTGCTGCTGCTGCTGCTCTCGGCACTGGGCTTAGCCGTGTCCTAGTTCGTTGTTGAACCGGGGGTTACGAGTATAGTGGGCCCGGGGTGGGCCGAAGGGCCCGCCGCTGGGGCCGCTCTCCACCACGGGGCCCTATACTCGTGTTTGGCAGGGCCGCCGGCCGTGCACCTGCTGCCGTGGTCGTCCGCTTGCGGTACAGTAGTGATTCACACGGCCGCGCCGCCGCGCTCAGCCTGACAACGCCGCGCTGCGAACCTGCCCCTGGGGAGGTGAGAGGAGCGAGTCCCGTTATTGCAGTAACCTCAAGGAGCAATCTGTATGTTGGGAGTTGGTGGACGCGCCTCCTCGAGCGCGCACACGCCCAGTCAACACCACCTGCTGATGCAGCGGCTGTAGGGAACCGCAGGGCAGCGCACAGGCAAGGCGGCAGCAATGCCACTTGCGCGCGCACGCGTGCAATCCTTGCTGCGCAGAAATATCGAGGTCATATAGCGCGACCTAGTATCACACCGATCAGAGGGCCGCTCACCCGTGTATGGGCCCCCCGCTCGCTCGGTTTTTGGCCGCACGGTTGTAGTTCACGCCCGCTGCACGAGGCTAACAAACTTCCAGTCAATTAAAAGGCTTCGAACATCAAGGCTTCCGTCTGATACGGCAACGTACAGGACTGCCTGCGTGGCTTCACCCCTTGCCCCACTCTCAACCTGCCAGCAGTGCTTTCAAACTCTATCCACCATACGCATCATGTCCACGACTGAACTGGTAGCCAAGGAATGGTGTGGACACCTGTCTTTTGTAACATCGCGACCTGCCATGCCCCCACTTTGTCAATGCACGGCGTCTTTGAGTCTTGGATGTTTTGGCGTGCTGCCTGTAGATCGTCAAACCATTGCAGCGGCAACCTCCACAGGCTTGCACCTTGAACACGTTCCCCTGACTTTGCTGCAATTGAACCCTTTTCAATGGCCAAGTGCGGTCACTGCCCCGCACCTGGTGTCTCCTCTAATTGGGTGTGCCTGAACATGGACCTGCAGGGCATGAAGCCCACAAAGCATGAAGCCCGTGAGGGGCCAGGGAGCCCGTAAGGCCACCTCCCATACAGGGGGGCTGGAACGTGCATGCCAGCGACTGCGCGACTGAGACACCCTCTGCACAGTAGATCCCTGCTGGATGACTGGCTGCACGCGTCGTTCTGGCGTAACCGGAACCATGCCCCTGGCAATAGTCTGCAGGTGCTGCCCTGGTTACTGCTGAAGAGCGCCCTCAGCAACCACGCGACAAAGGGACACCGCAGCAAAGCTGGTATGCATTGAACGGAGCCACACTCACGCGCTCGCGTGGCACCACAATGGCACGGGCAGAAGGGAGCAGGCTGGACATCATTCAGTCGCGCCAGTTGACTGGGACGCATGCCACGTCATTCAAGGCGCTGAGCGCGCCGTTGTAGCTCCACAATTGCAGCCTCTTTCCACACAACAGATTGGTCAGGCGCTGGTGGACGCTGCGGTGGTGGACGCTGCGGTCGTGGAGCGCACCACTCACCTGGTCAACGCTGCCGCCGAGCAAGCGCGCCGGGTCCGACAACGCAACCAGCGCGGAGTGGCCTGCCCCGCAACGCGGCGCAAGTGCTGCGCACAGGCGGCCCACCGCTCCTGGCGCCTACCTCGGCTGTCAGCCGCAGGGAGCAGAGCGGCGCGCCAGCAGCACCTGAAGCTCCTCGACTTCCCGACGCTGTTGCGCCCTGCTGCCGCCCTCGCTTGCCCGCCCAAAATCAATGACGAAGCACCTGGGGTTCCCGTCACTGCTTGCTGCGGCCTCCTCCTCGAGCAAGATGTTGTGCAGGCGCACGTCGCCGTGCAGGAAGCCGGGGCCGCCGGCGCGGTGGACGCGCGCCAGGGCCCTCACTGCAGCAGCTGCCACTGCTGGCGGGATGGCGGGCAGGCCCGACAGGGGGCTGCCTTGGATGCGGCGCACCGCCAGGTAGCGCACACCGGCCAGCGGGTACCAGCCTGTGCCCAGCAGCTCGGGCACCACCTCGCCCTGCTCCTGGCGCAGCAGAGAGTAGCTGCGCGCCTCACGGTCAAACGCCTTCAGCCCAGCGCTGTCGGGCCCCAGCAGCTTGATGACGGCAGAGATGCCGCCATACACCCCAGCCATGACGTCGCCAGCGCTGCCGCTGCACATCTTGTGCTGAAATTGGGGACCGGTGCTGACAGTACGCTGCCGGGGCTGCCGTTTCCAGCTGCTGCTGTTGCTGCTGCCGCCACGATTGCGCTTGTCCTTGGTGGTAGGTTGGGAACTGGTCAAGGGTTTGGCACCACAGCAGAGGGTACAGGATCATGTCACGACACATACGGGTAACCGCATGCGCCGGTGCTGTAGGGGCCACAGGCCACCACGGCCAAGTATCCCACACACCTGGTTCAGCGCAGATTTGAAGCGCCTGGGCAAGCTGAGGCCACATGCAGCAGTATGGCATACCCACGCACTGACACACATGAAACACAACCACACCTGACTGGCTGGTAGTCTGTGTCCGTGCACTCAGGCTCGTCATCCATGCCCTCCTCGTCAGCGCCGTTGCCGTCGTCACTGGGGCCGGTGTGCTGCTGCTGCTGGACGTACGCAGACACTGCAGTAGGGTCCACGTTCAGGGCCTGATGCTGCAGCCACGCAAGCGCTGCCAACACGCTGGGCCGGGTGTCGTCCGGCTTGTAGGCTGGGCTGACATACAGGTTGCCCCTGTGGGTGCTGTCTGCCGGGCAGCACACCAGCCAGGTGGCAAACCAGCAGCTGATGAACCCATAGCACATCCTCCACAGCTGCATGTAGCGGAACACCTCGGACAAGACGGCCCGCGCCGTCACGTCACGTGCAGGGGATGCTGGGTGTCCTGCCAGGCCACCACCAGGTCTGGGGGAGCTGTTGCGTCGCCGTGAAGGAGCAGCACGCCCGGCCGCCTCACCGCGCCGGCTACGATGCAGCGCTCCCGGTCCTGTCCCTCTTCGCCTGGCACCGTCAAAACAAAACTTGTCTTGTCGCGTGCCGCACCAGACTCAGGGCCCCAGCACTGCAGGCTGGTGTCTGCAGAGGGTGCCCTGCTCTGCCGGCCGGCTCGCGTGGCACCCACCTGCCCATCCTGTGCTGCAGCGGCCTGCGCCGCCTGTGCTGCGGCGGCCGGCGCCGCATGTGCTGCCGCCTGCGCTGCAGCGGAGGTGCGGCCTTGAGGCTGCGGCGCGAGCAGGACAACACAATCATGTGTGAGTGTATGGTGGATCAGGATGCCCTGACCGTGTGGATGCTGACAATCCCTGGTTTGCGAGCAAAGAGCCGTGCAGCGTGATCAGGCTGGCACTGCAGCTGGCTGCACGGCCTCGATCCGCAGCAGCAGCAGGCCTACACACCAAGGTGCGCACCTGGTTGATGCCCACTGGGAGCTCTGTCGCTGCAGCGCCGGTTGGGAAGAACGCCACAGCCTGTTGTATGATGCTGCTTTGTTCCAGCTGCCGCCAGCACGCCTGCTGGCTGCCTTGCACCTCCTGCGCCACCAGCTGCAACGGCAGCATCACACAAAACGAGAGCGCAGATGCTGCTTCCGCCTCTGAATGCACCTGCAAGATCTTGCTGAAAGACATGGGCAACCTGCAACGACCCACGGGGCAGCAGCATCCATTGGCTGTAGGCCTCAAAGAATGGGCAATCTCAATACCTTGAGTGCACACTGCTGTGCAGGCCTGCTAATTTGAAAATTATGTGAGCAGCCCAGCCTCATGGTTAGTGATCAAGCGTAAGCTGCTGAAAGCAAGGGGTCGCTGCTGCGAGGGATAGGTGGGCCCAAGCAAGCATACGAAAGCTCACCGGCGGCGGGTGCGGTCAGCGGCGTCCTGGTAGGCAGCCAGGGTGGAGTGCAGCGGCAGCGATTCTTGGTTGGTGGCTTCAGTGTGCTGCCAGGTGAACACTGCCGCCGGAGCTGGGCCACACTGCTCCCAGCTGCTTGATGTGCCGCCAATGGTCCTGCGTGTAGGGGCTTGTGGCAGGGGTGTAGCAAACGCTTCGTACAGCGTCCGCTTGCTGCCTGCGTAGAGCGGGCGGGGCAGCAGCATCACGCAGGCTGTCAGCAGGGGCATTGGCCAGACAAACTTGGCTGTGTCACAGGCTCAGGAGTTCCCATCCATATGCCAAGCGTGTTGGACACGTGTGACATCGCAAAATGCTGTGCATGCTTTTGAATATTTTGAGGTGGGAGGAGGGGGGAGGGCGGCAGCGCCTTGTGAGTGGTGTCGTCATGAGCTCTCCGGTCAAGAGGATGAGTCAAGTGGGGCGCAGCTTCAAAGCATGCAACGTGGTTCCAAATCCACTGCGGCACATGCCAACAGATGCACACTGGCAGAGCTGCAGACACGTGGGTACTCTCCGCCCCCAGCAACATCTGGAAGCCAATGCGGAGAATCCCTGGCAGCATCTCACCTGCTGCTGTGGACCATTTGCAGAGGCCCAGGCAAAAACAGAGGCCCAGGCAAAATCGTGAAGGGAACATGCGGTGAGAGTGCAGGGTGTAAGGACAGCCAGGAGGTGATGAAGCAAAGCATGTGTGAAAAGAACAAAAGGGGACGGGCAGGGATGCGGAGCAACATCATCATCATCATTACTACTCTGAGCCAGCAGCAGTATGCAGGTGGGTGTCAGCATGGAGAAACGAGATATATGAATGAGGGAGTGAGCACACAACACCGGTGATTGCAGCAATTTTGCCCGCACTGCGGAGTGGCGGCGTTGTCTGTGCTTACAAGGTGCAGCTGAATCTTCAACCGCAATTAGCGCTGATCATCATTCCCACCTTCCCCAACCAGCAACGTCTGCTGTGACCAACCCCATAAAGCCCGAGCCCCAGCCACTTAGCTGGAGGCCCCAGCTAGTTGTATGGATTGGACCATCACACGAAGCTCACCTGAGTCTGCTGCTCCCAGATGGCAGCGAGGGCAGGGTTGTGACGGTGCACAGTGACCAATGGCAGCACAGGCGCAGGAGGACAGAAAGTCAGCAGGTGACAGTGTACAGCATGTGGTGTGAACGAGGGGGCGGGAGGGGAGAGCAGCAGCAGCAGCAGCAGCAGCAGCAGCAGCATGCAACCAATGTGAGCATGAGCAATTAGGTGATGAGGATGCGGCGAGCGGTGGGCAGGTCATGCACACTGGCTGCAAGCTCTGCCCACAGAACGTAGGCATCCATTCGCACATGTTCCAAGCGCTCTAGCTAGCTGCGGTGCATGCCTGGTGCAGCAACCAGCAACAAGCCGCTCACAGGCGCCAGCATCCGTCCCCGGGTAGTCGCACAGAACAAGGAAGCCCGTAGCTTCTGTTGCGCACACTGTGACCACTTGCTCGCCTTTGCGGCATTTATACAGATGAAGCCACCAACACCTGCCTCCCAGCACCCTCAAGGACTTCTGGATACATGGGACACACTGTGTGGCTGCTGCAATTGAATCATGACAGGACCCACCCACCTGCGATGGCTGCCCTGATGGCCGCCTTCCGGGCCTCAACCGGCAGGTCCAGGAGACTGGCGGACCAGTCCACGGGCATCTGGCCAACAGTTACTGCTGCGTTGCCGCGGAACTCGGTGTTGTCACCGCCTGGGAACAGCTCAGGCAATGCCTTCATCAGCTGCTGCCTGGGAGTCGGCGCATCCATGGCGACCGTCGCCTGCGCCCGCCACGTGGAGATGACATCGTGGGGCAAGCAGGACCAAAATTGCATGAAAGCAGCACGGCGATGCAGCCAGCATCAGGCTGAGGGCAGCACCGCACCTCCCAGCATGCACTGCGTGGGTGCCCCAGCAGCAGCTGGCGCGCTGGCACGGGTATCGAAGGCTCTACCAAGCATGGCCCCCAGCCAGCGCACGCACCTAGCAGCTCTGGCTAGCCGGCAGCTTGCAACACCTACAGGACGTCGCAGACAAAACGCGGGCTGTGTGTTGGAAGTGGGGGCCCCAAATTTGCTCATACATGAACATACACTCGCAAGTCTTTGTTCATTCTACGCGACGATTTGCATCGGCTTTCGAACCTGGGCAAGAAATGGCTCGCAAATTTGCCGTAATACCGGTATTGCGAAGGGTTTCAGTAATGCTGTGTCACAAAAGAGTGCTGTGAAGGCAGTTGACGGCCGAGAGGCACGGCAATACCAGCGTGTTATTATTGATGTGCCGTGGTTGGGCAGCGTCCTCAACTTGAGCGAGCGAGCTAGGGCAATGGGAAGCGTGTTGCATCTGTCTGCATGGCTTGGCGACGGCTGCGACGTCCTTATCAACGCGACTTTAAACAGAGACATGGAGGCAATCGACAGCACCCTGGGCGCAGAGGTCGGTGTTGAAAGCCGTGGGTGGCGGCTGTGTCTATGCGGCTGGACAGCGGCCGCACTGTGTGGAGGACTCGTTCCGTGACCGAGTCAGGTATCCGCGACAGCCGCATGCACCAAGCAGACCCCCACGGGGAGGCTGGGTTACACCATGACCGCGCACCGCGCATAGGGCGCGATCTTCGCAGGGACCGGCATCCTGCACTGCTTTTGATATGTCATACTCAGCCGCGCCACCATCGCAACAACTTTGGGGGGCTGACGCCCTCCGACTTTACAGCTGTGCAGGAGGCCGTGCTCGCCGCCGACGGGGCCGCTGCGAACCATGCGCATCATTGGGGCACCACCTCCCGACCTGCGCCCACCCAGCCCAACAGGTATGGCCTCTGTCGCTGCCACGTATAGCATCTGTTGCTGCCATGCATCCACCTCCAGCACCTGCCTGGCAGCGCGCCAAGGCAGGTGATTATGTAGCGCCTGACAGCAGCACGGCTGGTGCTTTTGTGCGGGCCCATGGGTGTGGTAGACAAGCTTTCCAGCACTGTCGTACACAGCACCCCGAGCCAGGCTTTGACGACGTGGCGTTGGTTGCGGGGGGCAGTGAGGCAAACGGGGTGCAGAGGGAGCCGCTGCAAAAAGCTGTCCGGGTTTCAACAGTTTTCCACAAAATTATGTGGATGCATAAGGACGCACCGTGCAGCCAGTGCAGTTGATGGTTTGTTTCCTGTCATTTGGCAGGCATAGTTACTCATCTGCATTTTGGGTCACTCGTCCCCTGTCGGTCTCTTGCCTGGCCCGGGCGCGTACCAGCATAAATCGACTTCC